GGTGTGGTAGTGTGGAGGTGTGGTAGGGGTGTGGTGGGTTGGGTGTGGAGGTGTGGTGGGTTGGGATGTGGTGGTGTGGAGGTGTGGTGAGGGTGTGGTGGGTTGTGATGTGCTGGTGTGGTAGAGGTGGTGTGGTGAAGATGTGGAAGTCATCCCCTCAAGTTAACTCCTCACTTACCCTCCCACTACCCACCACCCTCCTCCACCCACCACCCTCCTCCACCCACCACCTACCACCACCTACCACCCACCTCATCTCTCCACCCATCTTACCTCTCCACCTACCACTCACCATCACCCACCACCCACCACAGACTAACCTCTGCTGTAACCCCTCTGAGTACAATGACTTAAACCCTCTAAGTACGATGACTTAACCTGCTGAGTACAATAAATTAGACCCCGAGTACGGTGACTTAACCCCTTGAGTGCGATGTCTGTCTTTCTGTCTGTCTGTCTGTCTGTTTGTCTGTCTGTCAAAACCTCACATCATAAGCGCTTCAAGAACGCATCTTTCACCCATCACCTCAACAGACAGACAGATTGTAGTTTTACCCAGTTAAGCGGGATTACGTACCATATGTTCACTGTCAGGATGGTAATATGAAGATGAATGAAGATCAGTGCACAAAAAATAAACTACACTTCAGGTTCTTCACACCATTACTGTCTCTAAACAACCAAAGCTTCCAATACATTACTTGTTAGGTGTAGCAGTTTGTTAACGTTGAGAAATAACTTAAATTATTGGACAAGTATAAGAAACAATGGTACAGGTGGGTATTATCTGTTACCTTGATATTGGCGTTGTAATCTTGCGTGTGTTTTCTGCACATCTTGTAGTCCTGATCTTATTTCTGAGGTTTCCTTCTCTCCCCTCCCTTCCCCTCTTCTTCCCTCCCTCCTAAACCCTTGTTCTTATTCCACACCTACCCTCCCTTCCATTCTTTTCCTTCCTTACTCTCTTCCCTCCCCCCTTTACCTTCTTCTTGTCTCTACACCTCTCTTCCCTCCCCCCTCCCCTACCTTCTCCACCTTGTCTCTACACCTTATCTACCCTCCCCCTCCCCCCTCCCTCAACACTCGAGAGATGAGGCCGATCCATCACAGGAACGTAGTTGCATGTCGGAAAGATTAGAGAGGAGCTGAGTTAACACTGCATTGGCGTTCCTTGTGGGATGTTCAGATAGTAATTTACCTCCAAATACCAGGTTACGCTTGTACTTTCCTCCCCTATATGATAACGGGTTGAACGGAGAGCAACACTTGGCCAGAAATATGTTTTACCATTCGCGTTTAGCGTTAGCGTTAAGTTAGGTTAAGGTTAGTGTTAGCGTTAGGTTAGGTTAGGGTTAGGTTAGGGTTAGGTCAGGGTTAGGTTAGGGTTCGGTTAACTTAGTCTTCGTAGTGAAATTAGTTGGGGTGCTTAATCATATCTTTTTTTTTGTATACATTCCTTCTCTCGCAGCATGAGAAGGAGGAAGAAGAGGAGGAGGAGAAACATGAGGAGGAAGAGAAGGAGATACATAAAGGAGAGGAGAAGAAGAAGAAACAGGAGGAGGAAGAGAAGGAGTAGCATACGGGAGGAGGAAGGGGAAGAAGAGGAGAAGAAGAAGAAGCATACGGTAGAAGGAGGGGAAGAAGAGGAAGAGAAAAAGAATAAGCATAAAGAAGAGGAGAAGAAGAAAAAACGTGAGGAAGAAGAGAAGAAGAAGAAACATCGGGAGGAGGAGGAGGAGAAGGGAGAGAAGAAAAAACTTCAAGAGGAGAAAGAGAGGAGGAGGAAGGAAGAAAAAGGATAATCATTTTATCGCATACTGTCGGGGTGTTATTGGAGTGGTCGGCTGGAGATATGCCGTAACTGAACAAAGTCATATGGTGAGCGAGGGAGAGAGAGAGAGAGAGAGAGAGTCACCAAGACGCTTCAAACTCACCAGGTAACGAACTAAAAGTGGTTGAGTCACACCTGTATTTTCTCAAGTCACCAAGATACCTAAAAGTCACCAGGAAATGAATGAAAGGAAGTTGAAAGTCACACCAATATTTTCTAAGAGTCACCAGGCAATACGTGAGAGGTGGTCAAGGATCATACAAGTGTTCCACGATGTCACCAAGACACTTAGAAGTTCACCACCAAAAGGTCACCATTGTTCCTAAGTATCGTCAGCCAATTTGCTAAAGGTCATCTCAGGTGTTCATTTACTCTCGTACATTTCTAAAATATATAGAGGGAAAAAATGTCTCCTATTGTGTTCTCTCTGTTATTTTCACCAACTCGCTGTGTGTTCCCAAGGCGGAATAAAATGCTTAAATTCACATAACCAGAAATCACGGACAATGGACGTAGTGCTTGAGTGTATTCAAGGACTGTAATTCTTCGGTGATTGAATAGTAGAATGACAATAAACCAAGCGAGAGTCACACACACACACACACACACACACACACACATACACACACACTACTAACTAAAGAATCCCATTGTAGTCGATTTAAATTTCATTGTATCACTCAAGTTAATCTTCCTTCGTTCATCTCTTTTTATCTTGTGTAATTCGTTAACTTCCCTTCCTGTTATATGAGGACCCCTCCTGACACCCACCCCTCCTGACACCCACCCCTCCTGACACTCACCCCTGCTGACACTCACCTCAAGACGTTATAGATAAAAAATAATCAGCAGTGAAGTTATATTTCGTCAGCTTTTGAAACTTTTGAAACATAAAAAAAAAGGCGTAAAAACTAAACTAAAAAGTTCACTACCCTCAAAATGGCTGCCAGTAATCCCTTGAAAATGGGTGAATGTTTAGAAAATAGAATGGCCTGATTCACACATTGTCCCGGAAAACACGTTCTTCATAACACGCGAGGTGGTGAGTGAACGTCTGTGTTGAAGCTATTATCACCATCATCACGTTCACAGATTCACAGGTTCGAATACCCCCCCCAACCCCCATCTCAAAATCACCTTAAATATTCTTGAGGTTAATATTTGTCCGAATTGCATACGTGTGTAGACAAAATTTACCTGTCGAAGAATAATTCCAGTGAACCAGTCAACCATAAGGCTAACTTCAGGCTATTTTAACACAACCATATTTTAATCTTTAACCTAATTTTGGGTTGATTGGAATTGATTCGATCTTTTAACAACTCTGATCATACAACATTGATCAATCCCCAGTTTTTTTAAGAGGTTTATCTGTTCCTTCTATGAATAAAAGTTCGATTTAATGTTCCAACTCTCGACTCATATCTTCTTTAATTATCCTTTATATTGTACCTGGGTAAACATCTTCATTATCTCTCTTCCCTTTTCTTCTATTTTATCCTTTGGTACTTCATCATCACCTGGTGTTCTGTTGGTCTCCTCGCTGTTGATCTGGTAAAGACAGACAGACACAGACAGACAGACAGACAGACAGACAGACAGATACCTACTTCAAGACATCTTTAGTCCTCCCTTCTTCCTTAATCTTATCAGTAACTTAGTTGTGTCTCCCTCTCTCTCCTCTCCTCTCCCTCTCCCCCCCTCTCTCTACCACCTGGCCCCTCGATCCATACACCTTCCCTCCCTCCTCACTCCTCCTCCTCCCCCCCCATCAAGCCCTCAGCGACCCCACCGTTTCATAAATAAAAAAAATAATTTGCATAAGCATGAGGCAGCGGGCGGTGTGGAGTCTGCAAGTTCATCGGATGTTGCAATTTGTTGTGCAACTCAGAGTCTCTCGGTGGTGGTCTAGCTTCACTCAGGTCAGGGGAGTTTACGCTGAAGGTTAAGCCTCATCTGTTATTGTGTTGTAGGCTGTGTGTGTTGTAGGCTGATGTGGCTGTGTGTTGTAGGTTGTAGGCTGTGGTAGGCTGTGTTGTGGGCTGTGTTATAGGCTGTGTTGTGTGTTGTAGCTGAGACTGTGTGTTGTAGGCTGTGTTGTATGTTGTAGGCTGTGTTATAGGTTGTGTTGAGTGTTGTAGGCTGGTATGTTGTAGGTTGTGTTATAGGTTGTGAGGTTGTGTTGTAGTCTGTGTTGTGTTGTAGTCTGTAGTGTTGTAGGATGTAGGCTGTGTGTTGTAGGTTGTGTTGAGTGTTGTAGGTTGTGTTGTGTGTTGTAGGCTGTGTTATAGGTTGTGTTGAGTGTTGTGTTGTAGTCTGTGTTGTGTTGTAGTCTGTGTTGTGTGTGTTGTAGGATGTAGGCCGTGTGTGTAGGTTGTGTTATGTGTTGTAGGCTATGTTGTTGTAGGAGTGTTGTAGGCTGTGTGTTGTAAGTTGTGTTGTGTGTTGTATGTTGTGTTAAAGGTTGTGTTGAATGTTGTTGTAGGCCGTGTTGTGTGTTGTAGGTTGTAGGCCGTATGTTGTAGGCTGTGTTGTGTGTTGTAGGCCGTGTTGTGTGTTGTAGGTTGTAGGCTGTGTATGTTGTAGTCTGCGTTGTGTGTTGTAGGCTGTGTTGTGTGTTGTAGGCTGTGTTAGTGTTGTAGGCCGTGTTGTGTTGTAGGTCGTAGGCCGTATGTTGTAGTCTGGTGTTGTGTGTTGTAGGCTGTGTTGTGTGTTGTAGGCTGTGTTGTGTGTTGTAGGCTGTGTTGTGTGTTGTAGGCTGTGTTGTGTGTTGTAGTCTGTGTTGTGTGTTGTAGGTTGTGTTGTGTGTTGTAGGCTGTGTTGTGTGTTGTAGGCTGTGTTGTGTGTTGTAGGCTGTGTTTTAGCGTGTGTTATAGGCCGTGTTATAGACTGTTGTTTGCTATAGGCTGTGTTGTAGGCCGTGTTTTAGGTTGTTATAGGCCGTGTTATAGGCTGTGGTATAGGCCGTATTATAGGCTGTGTTGTATATTGTATATTGTGTCAAGTTAAAGGTCAAACCACAGATCATAAACAATTTCTTTTACCCCAGCTGGACGTAGTGACAAACTATGACGACCTCTGCGACATAACTCTGCAACGTTGCATCTACCACCGCTGCATCTTGCATTCCATGTTTGTCTTGAAAATGTAAACTACTACAAGTGAGAAGTCAGGGAGGTAGACAAGTGATGCCACCCAGAGTGCACCGAGGGAGAGTGCACCGAGGAGAGGGAGAGTGCACCGATGAGAGGGAGAGTGCACAGAGAGGAGAGGCACCGATGAGAGGGAGAGTGCACAGAGGAGAGGGAGAGTGTGCACAAGCGTAAATAATGGAGGGAGTGCTTTTAGTTGTGAACTCAGAGCGTACAGAGGCAAGAGTGTACTGGGGCAAGAGTGTACTGGGGCAAGAGTGTACAAGAGGTATGGGGCAAGAATTTACTGGGCAAGAATGTGCTGGGGCAAGAGGTACTGGGGCAAGAGGCATGGGCAAGAGGTACTGGGGCAAGAGTGTTTGCAAGAGGCTGGGGTAAGAGGTATTGGGTAAGAGTGTACTGGGGTAGAGGTAGGAAGAGTACTGGGACAAGAGGTTGGGGCAAGGTCGGGGTAAGAGTACTGGGGCAAGAGTGTACTGGGGGCAAGAGTGTATAAGAGGTACTGGGGTAAGAGGTACTGGGGCAAGAGGTGGGGCAAATGTACTGGGCAAAGAGTGTACTGGGGCAAGAGGTACTGGGGCAAGAGGTACTGGGGCAAGAGGCATTGGGGCAAGAGGTATGGGGCAAGAGCTGGGGCAAGAGGTACTGGGGCAAGAGGATGGGGCAGAGTGGGGCAAGAGGACTGGGGCAATAGTGTACTGGGGCAAGAGTGTACTGGGGCAAGAGGTATTGGGGCAAGAGTTTACTGGGGCAAGAGTGTACTGGGGCAAGAGGTACTGGGCAAGAGTGTATTGGGGCAAGAGTGTACTGGGGCAATAGTGTACTGGGGCAAGAGTGTACTGGGGCAAGAGTGTACTGGGGTCAGAATGTACTGGGGCAAGAGAGTACTGGGGCATCAGACTGAGAACATTGCAGAGTGAGTCACACTACTTCTGTGATGGTGAAAAAACGTATGGACCGAGCAGGGACACACCGAGCAGGACAAGATTCTCCACGTCCCTGTGTGTAACCGAGCGACAGAGAGACGAGGGTGAACACCGCAACACAATACGAATTATTCCTCTTATGGAAGGAGAGGCAGGAGACGGCCCAATGCACCTCGAGGAGTCCTGGTCTTTGTGTGGGTGAGTGACAGACAGTATAGCGGGCACATCATCACAGTACACGAGGCTGTACTGGTCGTGGATCATGGCAGGCGATCCACCGTCATTAAGCAGCCAGCGATTACATCTCCGTCTGTGGTCATTGTGCCACGGTGGCTTGTGTTTCAGACCAGTACTCGGCCCATCTGTCGCCACGCCGGGGCATAGGCGAGGCGCTGTGGGCCAGGGATACTGGTCTCTGGGACGGGGTGACGGAGGGGTGAGGAGTGGGTGTGTGCGAGCGTGGGTTAGGGCCCCGGAGATCACCAGCACAGGGGTGCAGCAGCCAGCATGCAACAAAAGCCCGGGGGACCCTGCCTGTGACGGGACCAACCTGCATAATGAGTCGTCCTGGACGTCCCCCTTCCATACCCCGCATATGTGCAAGTACCCCTACATTCCATATGTAGGGGTATACTTGGGTATACGAGTATGTAAGTGTGATAGGCACCGTAGGTGTAGTAAAGGGTGAGTGTGCAGGTATTGCGAGGTGCTGGGTGTGGAGACGGTGCTGCAGGGTGTAGTAGGCGGGCGAGAGAACGGGTTGTCCTGCCGGCCGGTATGAAGCGAGGTCGAGACCCTGCCAGCGTGGTTAGTATTGAGGTGACTGGGCACGGCAGAGTGGGCATGCATAGCGCCAGTTGCACCTTCGCCCAGGGGACCAGCTGCACACGCCCGCCTCCACAAACACCGCGGCGGGCTGCAGCATCCCGTAGAGGCGACAGTAATTGTCCGAGTGGCCGAGAGAGGGAGAGTGGGGTAGAAGCGTGGCCAGCATCACCGTGATGCTGGTCAGCTACCTGTGCCCAGGTGTTGGTCCAGGTAGTGCAGGGCCAGACGCCTTGTTATTATATGTCAGTGTGCCGCGGGCTGAGTCCCTCCCGTACAGGTGTTATGGCTGCTCCTTCAGGCCACGCTTACCGTAGGGGCCGACCTCCTAGTCCGCTATCACGGTTTCCTACGCCCTGGGGCCAGGTGCGTCGGCCTCTTGGACTATGGGACCTACTATGCAGGACTCTGCGAATCTGAGGAGCTCTGCGTCCGCCCCCTAAAGTGTGAGGTACAGCACGTTGGTCCCTGTGTTGGGCTCCTTGATCACAGGGCTCGCCGCGAGTGCAAAATGTTGCCTGCTAGACCGATCCGCTGCGCCCTCCTCCTACACCTGAGGAACCAGTCTTGTCAACCACTTATACTCAGAGACCAATTGCTCTGGCCTACTGAGCCACTCTACACCATTCTCCGAGGCCTTGCAGTTCACTACACCGGTCCCTTTGGAGACCCTCACGCTGGCTGCCTGTCACCTGGGGCAGAGTGCGCCAGCCTTCTCAGCCACAGAAACACTACGCTATCCTACGAGACTTCGGGAGCGGTTGCCTAGAAATTAAATTCTCTACATTGGTCTGATGGATTTCGTAGCAAGTTATGGAGCCCTGTAGCCTGGAGTCATCTATCTGGCCTGTCCGACTTTAGGGTCATCAACGCTGTTATGGCCCGTGGAGATACACAACCTGGAGTGTGTACCTGCATCCGGCGTCCATCTCCTGATTGCTCTGAGAATTCACACAATTGTTCAGAGATAAATGAAGTGATAAAAAAAAAACCTTTGTCGTTGTATAAGTAAACCTCGGGGTGAGCGTGGTGTCCCCCAAGGTGTGAACTTCCTCTCAGCAACATCCCGGTTTACCTTGCAATATTGACCGACCCTCAAGTGCCCTCGGGTTGGGTCTTGACGTTGCTTATAATGAATCTTCAGAATTTTCAAGATGGACTTTATGTTGCTCCAAAATGCGCATTGTTATGTTGAAGCGGACCGCAGCCTCCCTCAAGGTGAACTCCTACACCCTTCAAAAAATGGATCTCAGCAACACCACCTTCCATGTTTGACCGATCAGTGACTTATGGATCACCAGGCACCTGAAGCCCACCTTGATAGGTAGGTGTCAACACAAACCCCCAAACTGTAATAAATTATAATAGTAAAATATAAGAATTACTGTTATGATATTGAGAAAAAATACATCTACTGTACGCAAATATAATATATGCTCATAATTGCTGATAGAAAAACAAAAGATTCCAACAAGTCGAAAGCAGGATAATGTGTTACACTGACAAGTAGAAAAGTGCATGATAATTAAGAGGAAAAATTTGTGCAATTATACTTTTACCAGATATCAGAACGACAAGAATACAATCATTTTACCGAGAACTGTTTCCTCTTGGGGTGAAAAACGAAACACTTTTGCTAATAACAAGTAGAAAGTGACTCAATGTTGAGAATTATTTAAACCAGGTGTGATCTTACCTCCATTAACCTGCAGTGTGTGTGTGTGTTAAGTGGGTCATCACAGCCTCCTTTCTGCCGCTGCTGTTACTGCTGTTGTAGCACTGTTACTTGTGTATGACACTGTTGATAACGTCACCGCTTCTTACACCCACGCGTCTCTGCTTCTGCTGTTAATTCACCGCTTGCTGCCTGACGCTGTTGTAAGCCACTGCTCCTGCTGTTAGAATCCCCGCTTCTTGTCTACTCTGCTGCCTCTGCTGTTAATATTATCACCACCCCTTGTCCTACGCCGCTGCCTCTGCTGTTAATATTATCACCACCCCTTGTCCTACTCTGCTGCCTCTGCTGTTAATATTATCACCACCCCTTGTCCGACGCCGCTGCCTCTGCTGTTAATATTATCACCACCCCTTGTCCGACGCCGCTGCCTCTGCTGTTAATATTATCACCACCCCTTGTCCTACGCCGCTGTCTTTGTTATAAGCACCATCGCCGCTCCTTGCCCTACGCTGTTGTCTCTGCTGTTAATAAGACCACCGCTCCTTGCCCTTCACCGCTACATCTACCCAGTGAAGTCACCACCTCTTGCCCTTTACTGCTGCCTCTACTGTTAGTAGTTCCGCCGCCCCTTGCCCTACGCCACTAACCCTGCTATTAACATTATCTCCGCCACCTTGACTTACGTTGCTGCTTCTGCTATAAACTGCTGCTTCTGCTGTACACTGCTGCTGCTTCTGCTGTACACTATTGCTGCCACTTCTGCTGTACTCAATTGTTTTTGCTGTCATCATCACAGCTTAATTGGTCAAGTCAGCGGACACTTACGCCTATGTGACAGCTTCACCCGGGAGTTGTGAGTAATGGTCCTGTCACCACCACCATCATAACGACCACCACTAACACCATCGTCACCATAACTACCAACATTATCACTATAACTACCACCATAATTAATACCACCATCACCATATCTACCTACCACCATCATAACTACCAAAACCAACATTACTACTAACACCAACACCACTCCTACCACCACCACCACCACCGCCGTCGCCGCTACCGCTATACACCAGGCGGCCGAGATGAACGAAAACCCCACAGCGAAAAATGAAAGTGGTGGTAGTGACGATAGTAGTAGTAGTAGTAGTAGCAGTAGTGATGGTGTTAAAATAAGTTAGTTGGAGATATTGGTGGAGGGTGTATAAGTACTGGTGGTGATAATGGTGGAGATGGCGGTGGAAGTCGGTGATGGTGATAATGGTGGTGGTGATAGCCGTAATAGTTGTTGTTGTTGTTGTTGTTAATGAAACGTATTTATTATTTTTTATTTTTTCCTTAAATCGACGAAAGCAAAATCCAACGCTGATTTTTTTTTATTTATTTATTTATTATTATTTTGGGGGGGGGTGGGGTGGGTCTCGTTTCTAATATATACAATAACTAATCGATCACACTAAGATTTGTTAATTATTTATTTATATATATTTTTTTTTTTACTTTTTCATTATGAGTCGTTCATGTATAACAAAATTCACCTGGATTTGTTAAATTATAATCCTGGGTAAAAGGTGGTCGTTGTTGATTGGTCAGTTACTACGTATAAACAGTATTTGTTGTTTTTCGTTGTTTATAATTGTATTTCTGAAGTTGGATTCCATTATAGCGTTCGTGTTAATTATATTCCATTCGTAGATCTTAGAGACGGATTTGTATAGTGTGTGTGTGTGTGTGTGTGTTAAGGGTACAGCAAGGTAATTTACATAATACCTGTAACCTCATAAGCGTAGGATACAAAATAGGATAAATTATATTGTATGTTAGATAATATAGTAAATTTAGGATTAGACTATATATTACTATAGTTATAAATGACACATACATACATACATACATACATACATACATACACACCACCATTTACATCCTTTAGTCTCTCACTGTAAACAAACTTGTCATGTAAATCTTAGACAAAGTACAGATGTAAAACAAAGGTGTGTTATGTTTTCATGTTTATATATAATTTACCTGTGTGTGTGTATATATGTATGTATGTTTGTGTATGTCTAGGGGGAGGTCACACAGATGGGTCAGAGTTGTTTGTTTTGGCTACACCTGGTCGACCTTATCACAAGGGCCGGGGTCACATTATCTCCCCTGATCACTCGGTTCATTAAAACCTTCCAGTCCTGATGATCAGCTGCAGGTAATAGCTAATGAGCATTGTATTTACCTGGGCTCTTTCTTTTTATATATATCTACTGATTTTTTTTCTTCTTGTTATTTTGGGTAGTTTATTTTAAGGTTGTGTTATTGTTTTATTTGATTTTCTTTCTTTCTTTCTTTCTTTCTTTCTTTCTTTCTTTCTTTCTTTATTTCATTCTCTTTGTGTCTTATAAATATAATTCTTAATTTCTCTTTTTATCCATCTTATTATACATCTCTCACCTTTCTTTACCTCACCTTCACCTTTGTACGTGACTGGTAAGCAGTATTTTCCTTGAAGGGTCTAACTCAAGGGGAGGATGGGGTGAGAGTGGGTGTGTAATGTAGTGAAGATGGTGGTGGTAGGAAGTGGTGGTTGGTGGTAGGCGGTGGTTGGTGGTGGATGGTGGTGGTGGGGGATCGGGCTGGTGGTGGTGGTGGTAGTGGTGGTTGGTGGTGATGTATAGTAGCGATATTGGTGGTGGTGATGGCAGTATAGCATGGTTGGTGGTGGTGGTGATGGTAGTAGTAACGATGGTTGGTGGTGGTGGTGATGGTAGTAGTAGCAATGGTTGGTGGTGGTAGTGGTGGTGGTGGTGGAGATAGTAATACTGGTGGTGGTAGTAGTGGTGGTTGGTAATAATGGTGGTCGTAGGGATAGTAGTATAGGTGGTGGTGGGTGGTAGTAGGTAATGGTGGTTGGTGTGGTAGTGGCGAATAGTAGTGGTGGTGGTGGTGGTGGGTGGTGGTGGGTTAGTGGTAGTAGTGGCATACGGAAGGTTGATAACCTACCTGGAGTTTGGAATGCAGTGTGTGTGTGTGTGTGTGTGTGTGTGTGTGTGTGTGTGTGTGTGTGTCAGCCAGCGACCACACCCCGCCACTACCTCAACAACACTCACTGCTTAGAAATGGGTTCAGGAATTTAAATATTGTTCTTTACTTTCCCTTTACATATATTCTTCACAAAACTAAATACCTTAGAGACATAAACACTGAAAATATTATCGTGATAAAAAAATATTGAAATACTTTGAAAAAATAGAAAAATACAATTAATATTTCTTTATGACATTTAAATGAACTTACAAATATTTAGAGGTATTAATGCTTTCGTGTATGATAGGAAATATATATTTGTTTAAGTCTTAGACACAAAAAATAAGAATCACAATAATGATTAATGATAGATAAAAGTATATATTATGGAAATATTAAAGAACTGATAAATTACGGTAATAAAAAACTACAATTGCCACAAAAAAATATAATTTACATCAATCGTAAAATCCTTCATATCAAAGTTTATTCGGAAAAATATATAATACACTAATGATGGTATATACAGTATATATCCCTCAGTGTCCTTATAATAATATACAAAAGACATAAACAAAACGATAAACACTTTTCTTTATATTGAGAGAAATTAAAAAAAATAGTATATATTGTTTATATAAGCTATAAAAGAACAGGGAATTGAAGATTATGTAGACATTATATAAAAGTTTGTGTCTGTCTGTCTGTCTGTCTCCTCACACGGGTCCTGGTGTTGTCTTTGGGAAAACTTTCTGTAGAAGGAATATATGAGACATTTTACCTGGGGAATAAAAAGAGAGAGGAAGATAGAAAGAGAGAGAGATCCTCGCACATACATACAGACACACAACATAAGTCTCTACACAGAAATACGAGAATAAAGATAGCGGAAAAGCACAGGTAACATCAATACCTATAAATACTATGACACGTGGGGACAGGTGAATGACACAGGTAATAAATAAATCACCTGTACTGCCTCACTCACCTGACGGTCACCTCAGCCTATTGTCGCTTCTCTCCGTTATCCTCTAACTTACGATTAGATAATATTTTTATGTAATATCCGCGTTGAAATATTACCACTAGTATAATTCTAGGCTTTGAAAATTATTTACCCAATTTAGGGTATACAGGTAGGAAGATTCCTTTAGTATTGAGCTCATAGGTAAAGTTACAAGTATTTTATTCATAGAATGAATATTTTCTTTGGTAAATCATTTGATATGTAAGTTAGTATTTTTTATGTATTGAAATAATGATACTTGTGATAGATAATGGACTATAAAGTAAGAAAATAATTTATTTCTTAATTTTTTTTTAATTTGTTGCTATATAATTGTTCCGAAAAGTAAAGTTTAAGAAGAAAATAATTATTTAAAAAAATTGGAAATAATTCTTGAAGGAATAAAATAATCTAAAAAATACGAAAGAAACTTTGAACCTATTAATTTTTTTTGGTATTAAGAATATGTTAAAGTATTCTTTAAATAATTCAATTTGAAGAATATTTTCACAAGAATTTTAAGAACATTTGATCGGAAATAAATATTCACTTAATTATTAAGTAACTTAAGAATTTTTAAATTTCGTGAGTAATTTTTTTTAATTGAAAAAATAAGCAA